GTGTTTTTATGTCGCGGCTCACTTAAAGTTTTATGTAAAAGCATTGTTCCCCGTACATAACATATTTGTTATTTAGGTACGTTTATGCAAGAAAGGTTTGGAAATATTAGCAAATCAACCGAATATTTATTCATCGAATGACGATGAACTGTATTCTTCGCAATAAACAATCTCTTTATTTTGCGTATCCAGCGTATGTCATACATTAAATATATAGTATAAATACTAGTATAAATACTATATAACGTTATTTTTATTTGTTTTACGAAATTTATTACTAAATAACAGATTTTATTATACTTTGCATTTAAAGTAAAAGAAGACTGACTACAGAAATGATCCTGTGTAGTATAGTCTAGGTAAAGCTGACGACATTAGGCCATAGCTTTAAATAAATAATGTATATTGTATTGATAATTATTGTATGTTTTAAATTATTAATAAAGTATACTACTACTTCTATTACTTTTTAACTACTACTTATTAACTACTACTTATTAACTACAATTTATTAACTACTACTTATTCTTATGATTCAAATGTAATTAATTTATTTTATTTTTTAAAAATAGTTTTTTAAAACTAGCATATTATGATATTATATATGATATTATATATTATATATGATATTATATATAATATGCATAGATATTATATATTATATACATAAAAATGATTTCACATGCATTGTAAATATGCTTTCTTCAACATTCTCGCTTTCCACCTACGTGAAGGAAATTTAATTTAAGCTTTAGCTAACATACATTAAGACCGAAAAGTTTTCGGAAATTCTCATTTAAAATTCGCGCGCTGTATATTTTTCGATATTTTAAGTTTATGTAGTTTGGCAGCACTGTCCTTAATTACTATGCCAAAAATGAGCGCGATCTGTCAGACAGTTCGTTTACGGCAGCTGTTGAAACCAGTTCACCTCAGTAGGGCGTTGCGAAAAAAACAATGGAAAAAAATATTGAACAAAGAGTTTGCATCAAATTTTGTGTTTCGAACGAAATTTCGTGTGCAGAATCGTTGCGAATGCTACAAAAGGCTTATGGGGAATCAGTTTTATCGAAAACTCAAGTTTATGAGTGGTACAAAGCCTTCCAGGACGGTCGTACGACCGTCGAAGACATTTCGCAACGCACTACTGAGGTGAACTGGTTTCAACAGCTGCCGTAAACGAACTGTCTGACAGATCGAGCTCATTTTTGGCATAGTAATTAAGGACAGTGCTGCCAAACTACATAAACTTAAAATATCGAAAAATATACAGCGCGCGAATTTTAAATGAGAATTTCCGAAAACTTTTCAGTCTTAATGTACGTTGTCGTCTTTATTAAGCTTAATATGCATTTTTAAACTAAATTCGTGTTAATTTGGCGTGTTTTAGTAATTTCAGGTTTATTCAACTTTCAGTCATTAACTTGGCAAAACCAAAAAAATTATACTTTTCTATGCTTTTAATTTTCTTGGAAGCAACAAAAGAATAAAAACAACCTAAATTTTTAATAAAACTCAAAAGAACACATTTCATACTCACTTAATTCAGTCTTGGACTTGACAGTGGCACTTCTGGTTACACATGAGCGAATTTCTTGTTGATGGTGCCATAGTCAGTGTGTTATTAAATTTATTTCGTTCAGTTCCAGTGAACAGAAAAACTATATTCATATCTTCGGATGTATTTACATACACTTGCATTCATAATAATTCCGACGCAAACTGGTGCATTACTTGTGCTCCTAGCCGGAGACTACTTTGTACCCTAGCATTTAAATGTAAATTCGTTATTTTTTCAGGTGCATCACCTTCTTTAAATTGTGTAATTTGATTCATTTTTTCTTGGCTGCAAATACATCACGAATAATTGGTTAACACTCCGTTGAATAGGATAGTGGCTGGGGTTAATGGAATATTCTTATAAGTCTTGTAAGTGAGGAAACATAGACATAAGAAAAAAATAAAATAGGGAATAGGTTTTGTTACCATTTCCTTTATTATGTCTGGTAAATATAGTTCTTTTGTGATATTTAAATTATTTATGATAAATGTTTAATAAGTAAATTCTTTAAAAAAGATTCACTTACTATTTTTAAATACTCGTATACCATAGTCTAATACAAGATGTCTTGAAGTAGATGATCAGAAGTAGAAGTTACAAATGATGTTTAATTAATTTTAGAAGTTAAAATATGAATAAAACAGAATTTAAAATAAATTTTTTTAATATCTTATTTTATATTATTATTAATTTATTTTTATTTATATTATTTGACTATAAATACTCAAAAACTGTTAGTTAATAAGGCTGTATTACTTTTTTATTAATTACTCTTTGATTGCCCCTCGCCTCATATTTAACATTATGGTTATTAAAAATATTTCATTTGACATTAAGTGAACTTTTTTATGAAAATCCATAAATATAAGAAAGAAATACTTCCGATTAAATAATACTGATTTTTGATTATAAATTTTATTTATTGTAAATGTATTATTTGTGTCCATATTTGAATTTGTATATTATTCAAGATAACATATTTTAATTTAAATTCACAAAGGTCGACTTAAACCACCTGTTATTTATAGTTCATATATAGTTTTATAGTTTATAGTCTCTTGTTTTTAGAGTGTTTATACTTATAAATATATAAATAATAACGAAGCAACAAAAATATAATGCAAAAAATCTTTGAGAGATCATTTAAAGGTAACAATTTATAATTTTAATAATTTTAATCAGGAAAAAATATCATCATAATGTCAGAACTAATGCAACATTCCATTAATATTCTAGTTAAATGGTGTATAATCAGTGTACTTATTCTCTATGAGTCAGTTAAAAAATATATATGAAAAAATATATAAGTAATGTAATATATAAGAGGCAATAGGCTAAAAATGGAACTGTAAACTTAATCAAGTCTTTTAATTCGATCGTCAAACCATTTGTACTTTACCGCGTTATTATATGGCGAGCACCGTTTAAAATAAAATGTACAGAACCACAATGTTATATCGAATCCAAAAAATAATTTGTCTTTAAATTATGAAATCATCAAGTATCATAATCATAATCAAGTATTATAATTTTGCTTAAACATAATTAATAATTAATAAAAACTCCAGAAAAATGTGCTAACATGCGGCTTTGGGTCAATTGGTTAAGGTGCTCTGACTCTGAGCTTCAAATTTGGCAGGACACGTATTCGATTTCTGGTACCTGCAGTCTCAAAAAATTATTTATGAATAATTAAATACAAGAATTTTTTCCAGGACTACTGATGATAGGTATTTGGTAATACTCGAAACAGCTGTAAATTGCTGTAGTTTACCACTTTTAAAAAAAAAAACTTTTTATCATAATTACCTAATATATATTTATCTTAATATAAATAGGGTATAGGTATATAAAAAAAACTTTGTCTAGTTACTTTAAACGTTACTGCAAACTGCGATAACGTTGGGGCTCTCCGATATTGACATGTACAATATTTGTTAGTTTTACCGAATAGGCATCGAAAAGTCTTGACAGATAAGGTGTAGCTACTTAGGTGCTATTGCTATGTCTCTACATAAATTATAGAACAATAACTTCGAAACTGTATCTATATATTTATAAAAAACTTAAATATGCAGGATTAAGGATCTATGCTATGTATAATCGATGAATTTAGCTCGCAGTGCATTTTGGTCTCTAATAATACAAATAATAAGAGAGGCTAAGATTCAACTGGGATCTTTGCACCATTAATGATGATGATGAATACAAATATTAAGTGCGGATTATTTTAAGTTAACTTCCTGAAAAGCCTTATATACTTTAATTGATATTCTTTTAATCGACTTATCTGCTTTTGACTGTGCTGCTAAAGCAACAATCAGAAAAGGAAATTATATTGAGGACGCTCTACCATTCTTACGGAATACACTGATATATCACAAGAGTGTGACTATGATATAACTCAACTAAATTTGACAGAATATTTAGATACTCGTACTCTATATTAAAAAGAGAGAAGTGACAAATAAGTTTTTTATTTTAATAAATAGCGAACTATAAATCAATGCATTGTTGTAAACTATAATTAAATTATATAACTATTGCACCATTAAAGTTTATTATTTTCAAAATTTATAAATTTTTTAATCATTTTAGATAAAAATTATACAAAATAAAATATATGTAAATAGATTTATGTTTGTATATTTATAAAAAGATTTGATATGATATATAAATAAATATAAATTTTCTTTACTAAATGCCGCTTAAATAAATAATAAAATATATGTAAATATCTATTAAAATTATTTTTATGGCATCAGTGACGAACTGGGCCCAGCCAATTAAGGCAATATCTAGTATCTAGCCAAACAAATTAATTGAACCCATTAAAATCTGATTTAATTCAAAAGCAAAATGCCCATTTAAACAAAGGCATTTAATTTGTCTGACACTGAAAATAGTTTTTTAATTATGAGAACTGAAAGTAAAAAGATGACAAATGGACATCCTAAAACAATTGTCGTTTGTTTGTTTGTTTGTTTATGAAAACATATACCGCGGCGACTGTTTGCTGAATGCACTTTGTGACAAGGTAAACATTTACTTGACAGACATCTGTAATATTTAGCGACGTAGCCATAGATAATATTTTTATTTGCGTTGTGAAAATATGAAGCGCAAGTGGAGAGCGTATCTTTGCGTATCTTCGGGCATAAGTTTGTTTGTTGTTATTGTTTTCTTTCTTAAAGATAAGACTTTTATCAGCAGATATCATTGGCGCAATAGCAATCACAGTGTGTAATAACATTTTAAACAATTTCAAATATTTCAATTCCAGTGCCTAACTTGTTATCCGTAAGTAATTGCGTTTGCTTCTCTAAGATGTTTGAGTGAAACATCTATATGTATCTGAAAATGAAATAAAAATGAATAAAACAATATTTAAAATATACAAAAACTTTGAGTAGTGACGTGAATTATTAAGAAAAGTAAAAGTGGTGACAGTTATAAGTAGTGAGTTTTTTATATTAATAATTTAGTGCAGCTAGATTAAAAGATTTGTGTTATAAATGTAAAAACTAAGCCGATAAATATACAATTAATACTTAAAAAGTATGAAAATAAAAAAAATATGAAAATAAAAAAATATAAAAACAGTTTATAATCAAGTTTATATAAATAAAGTGATCGGTTAAAAGGTTAGATTAGTGTGAATTTAGACGGCACGTATTAATGCGAACACCAAAACACACTCGTAGGCAAATATTGTCCTATGTAATACCATTAACATTATCAGGCTTCTTTTTGCAACGATTTAGAATTCCAGATAAAATTAAGTAATTCCGATAAGTTATCTCTGCCAGGCTAGTGAGACTTTCTACTTGACTTTCTTGAATCCTAAAGCATGAGGTTTCTAGGCATTAGATTCCACTACTCGTGTACAGTTTGACAGAGATTACAGTTTTTCAGATAAAGTTAAGGAATTCTGAAAAGTGTACTTTCGTTATCTCCGCAAGGTTAGTGAGACAACAGGTTTCTACGCATTAGCTCCCATAGTTGTACAGTTTGACAGAGATTGCAGTTTTCCAGATAAAGTTAAGAAATTCTGATAAGTTTACTTTCGTTATCTCTACCAGGCCAGTGAAAAAACGGGTTCCTAGGCACTGGAAGCCATTTCGTATGTAGTGTTTGAAAGAGATTGCAGTTTTCCAGATAAAGTTAAGGTATTCTGATAAGTGCACTTTCGTTATCTCCGCCAGGCTCGTGAGACAACAGGTTTCTACGCATTAGTAGCCATTTCTCGTGTACAGTTTGACAAAGATTGTAGTTTTCCAGATAAAGTTAAGAAATTCCGATGAGTGTACTTTCGTTATCTCCGCCAGATTAGTGAGACAACAGGTTTCTAGGCATTAGCAGCCACTTCTCGTGTACGATTGACAGAGATTGCAGTTTTCCAGATAAAGTTAAGAAATTCTGATAAGTGCACTTTCGTTACCTCTACCAGGCCAGTAAAAAAACGGGTTCCTAGGCATTGGAAGCCATTTCGTATGTAGTGTTTGACAGAGATTGCAGTTTTCCTGATAAAATTAAGGAATTCCGAAAAGTGCACTTTCGTTATCTTTTCCAGGCCAGTGAAAAAAGGAGTTCCTGGGCATTAAAACCCATTTCGTATGTAGTGTTTGGCAGAGATTGCATTTTTTCGAACAGACAAAGAAAGCGATTAATAAAGTTTACTATGTTTGTAAAGTGAAGATTTAATTAATCCAATGGTACAATATAAGTTAATGAAGTTGAATATTTCTAAATATGTATGTAACGATATTAGTACCGATGTCATATTGTTTTAATATTATAATTATACCTGAAAGAGTTTTCCAATAGCAATCAAAGAAAATCGCTGTCAAAAGTGAACAATATGAAAAGAGTTGATAATTTATGAAATTGATTTATTGAAAATTCTTATAACTGAAATTGCTTGACGGCAAGATATTCAGTACACTTTTTTTGTAGTCAGTGTGAAACCATTAGAGAAGAAAAGGGCATTTAACATAAATTTTACTGTCTTAACGGTAGCTGAAAATAAGAATTATGTAGTTAACTTATATTTTAAAGTATGGCATGTTTTTTTTCAAATAAGAAATTTGGTACTAAACTTGCTGTTTAATTTATTACATACTCAATTTATGATTTACAATATGCAACTCCAGTTTTAACAATATTTCAATGTTCAAAGTTGCAAACTTTAGTTCAAAATATTTCTGTTAAGATTTACGATATGCAACTTGCACTGAACTCAATTGTTAATTATTTAATTTAAGTAAAAAAAAAATTTAAAGATTTTTTTATAAAATTAATTATAAAATATTTAGTTTAAATATTTTATTTATTATAATTTATTTGCACTGTTATGTCTCCTTATTTAAATGTTACGTTTCTCTCTTTTTTACCAGGAATGATAATGTTTAAGTAATAGAAGAAATCTTTGTGTCTTTTATTATAGACACATATATATATTATTTATATCTTCATTATCTTATATTTTCAGATATTCACAGGCTTGCAGAATTATTTTTTTACTATTTAAAGCTCCAACAATGCTCAGAATTGAATCCTAAAGCATTACTCCATTCGAACTTTTACTTTCACACACTGTCTCCTAGTTTCAAAGAAAAAAATCATGTACATATAACAAATATATGTGAAAAGTATATGTGATATATAATAGCACTATAGCATTTAATATATATTTAATGTTTAGGAAACTATATAAAGTCCAATGAACAATAAGTAAATTATTGACTTTGGCAACAGCCAGATATGTTTAATTAATATAACATTTTTGTTCTCAACCATATAACGCGCAGTGGCAGAAGATGCGTTTTAGAAATGTTTTGTCTAAATCTCTTTATTTAAAAAAAATATATACTTAAATTTTATTCTTTATATCAAGTATGTGGCCTGGTCTATTGTAATGGTTTTCTAAAAATATAGCAAAACCTTGAGATTTAACTGCGTATATAACATGTCTTTATCGTCATGACCAGAAAGATTGCAAGATTAATGAAACCATTAAGAACTCTACAGTCTGCATAACAATGCCCGTTAACGCTACAAAAAGTATACAGTGCCATATCTTGAAATTTAAATAGAAATTATACTCTTAGCTAATGACATTAGATATATAATTGTTTTTACAATTAATTTAGAAAACCACGAATGTTTTATTGTCTCATTTTGGAATTACTTATAATTCTGTTGGAGAGTAGTTTTTGAGCGAGAAATTGATAAAGATTTTTTCACTGCTCTCTTTTCAAGTCGATTTTGTCCCACTAGAAATATTTTCTCATTTCAAAGTATAGTATGTACAAAATAATGAATTATGAAAGGCCAAGACTTAAAGCTGAACTGATTAAATCAATCAAACTCTGTATTTTATTGGGTCATTTAGCATGCATGCATTATGGAGATATATACATTTTTAAAGTGTTTATATATGTTATAGGTTGTGGTTTTTAATAATATACTTCCATTTGATAGACTACTTTATTAACTAAAAATTGTGTTTTTTCTTATTAAGTTTCATAAAAGTTCTTATAAAATGTGTTCTGTAGTATCTTAGTCATACTAAACTTATTATTTGTTTTATCTTATTGACTTAAGCTGTTCTACATTGAAAACACTTGTTCACTGTAAATATTATCATTAAAATATTCATTTTATATCTGTTTAAGTAATAATATTAACATTGTTTTGAGCAAAAGTTATTATGATCTACTTGAATTAAGTTCTTTTGTGAAATTCCAAAAATCTTAATATTATATAGCTTTTTTGATATTCATTAGTAAAAAAGTAAGTAAGTACATATGTCATAGGTATGTTATGTAAAATGACATGGAAACTCTTTGATTAAACTCCTTGATTATAATTATAATCAATTATAATTTAAAACTTAATAAGAGATGAATTTAAGAAATCAAGAATTTGTACACTTCTGTAAGCAAGTTGGTTCATAGTTATCATTAAACCCCATTGTGATTTTATTGAGACACTTCTTACAGATATTGGTCTTATTGCGGGTTTTCCGAGATCAAGAAACTACGCTATATTTTGGTTTTTAACTAAATTTTGTGGCAAAGAAAAACTGACTTAATTGACTTGCAAAAACTACTTTCTGACAGAATGGAACATATGTGGTTTATGGTTTCTTAAATTAGTTTTAAAAATAATTAAGTATATGATGAAATCAGTTGACATTGTAATTCCAATTTTAATTTCCATTGAGAGCGTTTTACCCTATTGAGTCACTGATATTCTGAATGATCTGTGATTTTAAGTGCCACATTACGTAAACAATCTGGCACGTAATTTTATAGCTTTACTGGCATGTAATGTAGACAGTTAAATCCCAATTGTTTATTGTATACAATTACTGAACACCCATTGTAGTCTTTATTCAAGTGCACTGTTTTAGTCACTTATGTCAAATATAACTAAATATTCCTTCAATGACAATGGCAATTGTTATACGTGTGATAAGAAGGAAAGTGATTTAGATCTGATGAATCACTATCGGTTAGAAAATTGTGATAGGAAAATAAACATTTTCATGAAAAAGTCTTGCTTCCATTGTAAGGAGCACGAAAAAAATATTTCACATTCCTTTTATTATACTTTTCATGCTTAGTGTTAACTAAATATGTTGAGGATTTATTTTCTAGAGGTTGTTAGTAAGTTTAAAGGCATCTCTTAAAAAAGAATAATACTTTCAATACTTTCAAGAGTTGTAATGTGTTGTAAGTGATTTTTAGCGCTGTCCAAAGCACGGCCCGCGGCTAATGTTTATAAATTAATAAAACTAAATTTAAAATTATAATCGTATTTTTTTTTGTCGCAAATAACTATGAACGTATGTATTTGTTTCTGCGGCCCCTTAATCTGTACAGTAATTGGTATTGACCCGCGATTGTATCTGGTTTGGTTAGCCCTACTCTAAACCGTTTTAAAAACTGGTTTTGATTATAGATGTGTTCTCATAAGAAAATTAAGAGAAGTAAATAGACCTTAAACGTTTAAAAATCTGGTAATCAATAGTTAGTGTTATTTCTTTTGTATTTTACTAGAAGACACTGTAAGAACCTTAAGCCTTCTTTTTTCAATTTTTATTTAATATATCACTTAAAATATCATTAAAAAATATCTATAAAATATCTATTCATGCTTATTTCTACTAAAGTTCAGTTAATCATTGCTTTTGGTTTTAGGCTTTGATTCTTAAGCCAAAACATATTCTTCTATACAAAAACAACTGGATACAAAGTTTAAAATTGTGATAAAAATAAATTGTCGATTAATTCTGATAAAATTAGTGAGTGAATCATTAGTGATTAAAAATATAAATACCAGCTTTAATATTAGAACATTCATTTGCATTAAAACAACTTGGCTCAAGAAATTGATTTCATCACAATTTTTATTTTATTTGTTCTTTTCAGTTGGCTGTGGCCGCATGAAGCTGACGACAGTGCTGAGTAACTTGGAAAATATAGTGGTGAAGTTAAGTTACAGTAAATATAAGTTCTGAAGTGAAAAGTACTATGAATTCGACTCGGAAATCAAGAACCAGTGATCAACCGAACGACGATTATTATAATTTAAAAAAACAAACAAATTTGCCGCCTGCGCCGAACAATAAACAAACAGTAGCGCCAGTACCACCGACACCGCCAATGGAGCCGATGCGTTTACGTAGTGACTCCACAGCTACAAGTGTTTATGTAATCGGTGGCAACAATGTACATGCTAGTAATCCACCAACTATGGAACGCAAACAGCTGAATCGACAGTCATGGATAAATATGCGTCAGAAAGTTGAAGATGCCCTGCCTGTAACATCCTCACCACAAACGACTCGCAGTTATGTGTCTACAGTAGATACTGGTTTTAATGGTGGAGGAAGCGGTAGTGGCAGTGGCGGTGGAGGAGGTGGCATAAATAGTCGTGGTGGTACAGTTAGCGGACGTACTACAGCAGCTTCGGGGCGCATTAGTGGTGCCACAACCATAAGCGGCAGTAATAATACACTTAATGATATAATTTCCGACTATCACAGCCATGAAGCTGGCAGCAGTGATTATCAATTTGCTGAAACTACAACCTCACCAACGAAAAATTTATCCGGCAGTGGCAGTTTTAATTTGGCAAACGGAAGCACAGTAAAACTGCTATCAACAAATGACGATGAATCAAATCAGCAGGTGAGTGAGTGCCTATGAAGTTAATAAATTAATTTGAAGCTTGTTATGTTGATGGGCTTAAAAATTAAAAATTAAATTTGTTTATAGTGTCAAAACTTATTTCTTATATTGATATTTTTTTGTTTTTGCATATTTGTCAATTTCAAAAAATTTTCTGGTTTCTCGATCAACTTTTACCTTTAAGGCGTGTTCTTCCAAAATATGCAAATTAAAACGCGCTCGTTTGTTATATTAAATTAACTTTGGTTTTTTCTCAATAATAATTTTTTTT